GGGTTGGGAGCGGTTCTGCGGGTAGGGCCGGAGGCAAGGGTGGGAAGAGGGTAGCGGACGCTCATAGATTAAGGATCGGGTCGTGGAACGTAGGCACTCTGACGGGTAAGTCCATTGAGTTGGCGAAGGTTCTTCAGAAGAGGAGGGTTAACATAGCCTGTGTCCAGGAGACTAGGTGGAAAGGGTCGAAGGCGAGGAATGCAGACGGGTTTAAGTTGTGGTATTCTGGGGTCGTGACAGGTAAGAATGGAGTGGGCATATTGGTTGATAGGGATCTAAGGGAGTCCGTGGTCGAGGTTAGGCGAGTGAATGATAGGTTAATGTCTATTAAGCTGGTTATTGGGGGTTGCGTCATCAACGTCATCACCGCTTACGCGCCGCAATCGGGCTTAGACGAGGAGGTTAAGAGGCGCTTTTGGGAGGACTTGGATGATATGGTGAGTAGTATTCCCCAATCTGAGAAGTTAGTTATTGGAGGGGACTTTAATGGTCATATTGGGGCTGATGCTGGTGGTTATGGTGAGGTGCACGGTGGCTTCGGCTTTGGGGTTAGGAACGGAGGAGGCACGTCACTGCTTGATTTCGCCAGGGCTTCCGAGCTTTTGATTGCGAACTCGACATTTCAGAAGAGGGAGGAGCATTTGGTCACCTTCAAGAGTTCGGCGGCGAGGACTCAGATAGATTACCTCCTCCTCAGAAGGAGCGATAGGGGTATATGCAAGGACTGCAAGGTTATTCCGGGAGAGTCCCTTTCGACTCTTCATAGACTCCTAGTGATGGANATGTCGGTCTCTGGGTGAAGAGGAAGAGGAGGGGTGCTCGGGGACAACCGCGGATTAGATGGGGGGTTTTGAATAAGGAGAAAGCACAGGAGTTGGAGAGGAGGTTAGCTGAGGGCGGAGCTTGGAGAAGTTCTGGGGAAGCGGATGTTATGTGGTCAGAGACGGCGAACTTGGTTAGAGAGGTAGCACGGGATGTGCTCGGAGTAGCAAAGGGCTATTCAGGCAGACATCAGGGTGACTGGTGGTGGAACGATATAGTCCAAGGAAAAGTGGAGGTGAAGAAGGCGGCGTTTGCTAAGATGGCAGGGAGTACAAGCGAGGAAGAACGGAGAGCAAACAGGGAGATCTACAAGGCGGCGAGGAAAGAAGCAAAGATGGCGGTTACGGAAGCCAAAAACGCGGCGTTTGGTCGCATGTACGAGGAATTAGGGGAGAAAGGCGGGGACAGGAAGTTATTCCGGTTAGCTAAAGAAAGGGAAAGGAAGGCACGTGATCTTGACCAAGTTAGGTGCATCAAGGGCGAGGATGGTAGAGTTCTGATGTGGGAGTCTCAAGTCAAGCAGAGGTGGCAGGCATACTTTCGAGACTTACTTAACGATGTGGGGGATCGTAACATAGAGCTAGGGGAGTTGGGGCATTCAGAGCAACATAGAGACCTTGGGTACTGCAGGCGCATTAGGGCGGAGGAAGTCATGGGGGCTTTACGTAGGATGAGTAGGGGTCGAGCGACCGGGCCTGACGAGATCCCGGTAGAGTTCTGAAAATGCATGGGTAGGTCAGGAGTGGAGTGGCTCTCCAGGTTGTTCAATGCGATCTTCAGGACCAAAAAGATGCTGGAGGAGTGGAGGTGGAGTACAGTGGTGCCCTTGTACAAGAACAAAGGTGACATCCAGTGCTGCAACAACTATAGGGGTATCAAATTAATAAGTCATACCATGAAGGTTTGGGAGCGGGTGATCGAGGCGAGGGTGAGGGAGATGACATCTATATCTGTGAACCAGTTCGGTTTCATGCCGGGTCGCTCCACTACCGAAGTTATCCACCTTGTCAGAAGGCTGGTGGAGCAGTTCAGGGATAAGAAGAAGGACCTGCACATGGTGCTTATCGACTTGGAGAAGGCGTATGACAAGGTCCCAAGAGAGGTGCTATGGAGGTGCTTGGAGGCGAAGAGCGTGCCAGAAGCCTACATCAGAGTAATTAAGGACATGTACGATGGAGCTAAGACTAGGGTTAGGACGGTGGGTGGCGACTCAGTCCATTTTCCAGTGGTTATGGGGCTCCATCAAGGATCGGCGCTTAGCCCTCTCTTGTTTGCCTTGGTGATGGATGCTCTTACCCGACATATTCAAGGGAATGTGCCTTGGTGTATGCTATTTGCTGATGACATAGTCTTGATAGACGAGACAAGGGTCGGTGTTAATGAGAGGTTAGAGGTATGGAGACAGGCTCTCGAGTCTAAGGGTTTCAAAATAAGCAGATCTAAGACAGAATACCTGGAGTGCAAGTTTAGCGTCGAGCCGAGCGAAGTAGGCAGGGACGTGATGATTGGATCTCAGGTCATCGCCAAGAGGGACAGTGTCAGATATCTTGGGTCGGTGATTCAGGGGGACTGAGAGATTGATGGGGACGTCACTCATCGTATAGGAGCGGGGTGGTCAAAGTGGAGGCTTGCATCAGGAGTCCTGTGTGACAAGAAAGTTCCACAGAAACTCAAGGGAAAATTTTATAGAGCTGTGGTTAGACCGGCCATGTTGTATGGGGCGGAGTGCTGGCCAGTGAAGAACTCTCATGTTCAGAGGATGAAGGTTGCGGAGATGAGGATGCTTAGGTGGATGTGCGGGCTCACCAGGTTAGATAAGATTAAGAATGATGTTATTCGAGAGAAGGTGGGGGTGGCCCCGTTGGATGAGAAGATGCGAGAAGCGAGGCTGAGGTGGTTCGGGCATGTACGGAGGAGAAGTCCTGATGCCCCGGTGAGGAGTTGTGAGCGGCTGGCGATGGTCGGCGCACGGCGAGGCAGAGGGAGGCCTAAGAGGTATTGGGGAGAGGTGATTAGGCATGACATGGCTAGTATGCGGGTTTCTGAGGACATGGCCCTTGATAGGAAAGTCTGGAGGTCTAGTATCAGGGTTGTAGGATAGGGGCCCCTAGAGTTTTTTTGTGCTCCTCACCCGGGGTTGGGTGAGGCTTGGCAGGGCTACCCATAGATGATTTGTGTAGTGGATTGTGTCTCCCTTATGGTAGTTATTTATGGTAGTTACTGCCTGATATTATTGCATGCTATTAAATTTATGGTTCTTATGTTTAGATAATTATTTGCGCTATTTCTGCTGAAGCTACTAATGTTCTTTTGTTGTTGTTATTGTTTTTGTTGTTCCTTTCCTTCACTGAGCCGAGGGTCGATTGGAAACAGCCTCTCTGCCCTTTCGGGTAGGGGTAAGGCCCGTCTACATATTACCCTCCCCAGACCCCACTTTGTGGGAATATACTGGGTAGTTGTTGTTGTTATTGTTGCTAAACTACGTCAATGAATTTATTAAACCATTCCTTGAGCATACTATCAGTAAACAGTTTTACAAGTTTCCGTTAACATACAAAATGTGCATGTGGCAATGCTGTCCCTTTCTTGGCTATAGAGACCAATAGTTTATACCATTACCTCTTAGGGCCTTCTGAAGAAAAGCCCTATGAAGTGAAAATAAATCCTTTTCTAGACAGGAAATGCAAATTTCACACCTAATATGTCTAGATTGTTTGAACCAAGAAGTAACGGCTGGTCTCCATACACAGATGTACAACCAGAGAAAAACACAAGTTCTCTATTAGCTTTGGCCTGGTTTACTTCTCATTATTTTGGGAAGAAACTCCACCTATATAAGTTACATGAATGCGAATTATATTCCAAAGCCTGGATAATAAGGAATGTTACCATAGGTTGAAAGCCAGTAAAAGATAATCTAACTCTGAAGAATCTTGAGGATTCATAGGCTTCATATAGCTGACACCAACTATTTGGACTGAGGTGCAGTTGATTGATACTGTTTGGGGAGACAGAAGAGTGAAGCTGATCCAGGTGATTTCCCTGATTTAGGTTTTTTCAAAATTTTAGTGTTTTTTTTGGTTGATAAGCGAGATCCCTAGAGCCAATAGTGCACGGTTCGAAACTCGGAGGATAATGAACCCTCCCCTCCACCCTTATGCACTTTAAATACCAGGCTTTTGTCTGCGGCAGTGTTCGAACCCCTGACGTGCGCCTAACCTACATATCACGCATTGTGCTCTATTGTTAAACTACAAAGTAAAACCTAGAAAGGCATAAATCTGCATGGCAGGGATTATACGTCAGCTTGCAAGCAAGAACAAACCAATCTTTTGGCATCAAACAGTTCAAAATATAAATTTAAAAGAATAACTCCAGTACAATTCCATCAACAACCTGAATACTGACTCACTCTCGGACAACACAAAAGGTTAAGACTGGCAGAAGAATAAATGGCACATAGCATATATGTATAGGCCCATATCAGAGAGGAGCATACTCTAGGAAAAACTGCATTAACATCTGCTGAAAGAATGCAACATTGCAAGGTAATTTATGTCTTTATAGCAACTGTCAAGGCCTTGCCCTAAAACAGAAATTACAGAAGGTTAGCAGATCAATCAACTATCACAAATAAAAAATCAGCACTACCGGCAAAACTGCAGCTTTAACCCAAAGCAAACATCAATACAGGAAAGGTGGAAATAAACTGAATGGAAAGAAAAATAAAAATGATTCCATAGCTTTTGTTTGAAATTTAGCAGAAAATGCTGAAGGGCTAGTAAGCAACTAGATACGACCCATGAGGTTACAAAGCATGAGGAATGAGGACAGAACCAGAGAAGAGCACGGACTTTTAAATCAGCAAAAAACCATTGGCTTAGGAGGTGCTAAGTGAAAAGGCATGCTGGCAATGTTATTGAGATAAATTCATTTTTGCGGCATATGACTATGGAAAAGACAATCTATGAAAGTAACTTTAAAAAAAATTGATTCACTGTAACATGGTTTTGAGAAGATACGTACAAGTTCTTCATGTCCGATACTGGATCTAGCTTTGAATGAATTACATGCTCCTTGAAACATTCAAAAACAGATGTCCTCCTTCTGTGCTTCCAATCTTTTACTGACACGCTCAATCTAAACAAGTATTTGAGGCAAGCTTTATCACTAGGAAGTTCACTCTCAAAAAAAAACTGATGACCAATTAAAGCATCCTAGAAAAGAATATAAGCAATAGACTCCACCAATATGATGACAATGAAATAGTTAAACATTTGGGTGGCACAGGGTGCACGTGTACTTAGAAATTAAAGTTTTTCTGAGAAACTACACCAGAAAATAAGCAATAATAAGAAAACAAGAAGGACAAATGCGAAATGCTCTTTTGGGGAGAGGGAAGAGAAGGGCGTATGAAGTTTTCGAAATCAAGTAATACTTTACAGAAAGTAAAAGTTAAGCCACCAACCTGACTAAAGTAGTCATCCAAAAACATTA